TTGTTGGCAACTAAATGAAGATCTTAAAAGAGCCATTAACAGTATCAGTATTACGGTCCAGTTGGTAGAAATGTGTAGCTAAAGGGAAATTGATATTATCTCTGATGGTTTTGTTTTGAGATATATATATATATATATATATATATATATATATATATATATATATATATATATATATATATTGGAGGAAAGATGCATGACAAAGTGTAAAAAGTTTTTGTGTGGTGCATTTTGTGAGGGAAAGGCAATAATATCTGGTGGTATTAGAGATACTTCTAGGGCAGTCCAGGTTAGTGGCAATAATATATTACCTACAAAAATCAGCTGTGTGTGTGTAAAAAATACACACACCCAACTGAGAAAGAGCAGAGAAAGTGAGCAACTAAAGCAACAAAAAGATGAAGAAATTAATTTTAATTTTCATCTCATAATATCAGACAGTAACTAGTAACTTAATTTTCTTTCAATCAATTAAAATATCTCCATTTTTGTTTTAATGAACAGATAACGAGCAAGAAAACTAAATTTTATAAACTAATAAAAATAAAATAAAAAAAGCCTTTCATGCAGAGAACAATGGTTAAGTTCTGAATGTGGGCCTCTCAAAAAACAGTAATGCATTGGTAGTTAGCACCAGAAATAATATCAAAAGATCATAACCTGTTGAATCTGTGGTATCAATTTACTGTTACAATTTGCTGTTCACTTGTTTTGTTACATGAACAGTTCTGAAATAGTGGAAATTGTCCAGAATGTCTAGGGTATAGTGTATTAGCTGGTGGTCAAGTCTCAAGCTGGAAGAACTGATATTTCAAAGAGTAACATTTGAAAAGCTCATTAGATAGGTTTCCCGAGGTTTCCTTCTGACCCTCTTACTAAAAAGAATTATAGCCTAAATAAAATAAGGTTGTACATATGAGCAACTTTGTACTAGCCATTTGTTACTCTTCACTTCTGATTTGCACTGTTAAATAGGTAGTTCCAAAATTGGGAAATTTACGGAGAATGTCTGAAGTTAGCAAATTGGCAGGTAACCAGATCCAGGGATTCAATTCTTTTAATGTGGATACTGGAAAAGATCAGTACACTGCTTTTCTTCATTTGTGAGTCAAACTCAAGGAATTTTTTGTAAAATAGCAAATGATTCAACAGTTAAAATAAATCTACAAAATCTTACATAATTTTAGTATACATTTAAGCCTGAAATTATTCATACCCTAGTAAAATGTGATTTTTTAAAAAATAATTTTCATTGGTGATTCTTCTTTGGATCTATCAAGGAGCTCAAGATAAATAGCAGGGGCACCAGACCATATGTGACAGTAATATTATAAGTATGGACAAATGGTAGACTTATAGATATATAAGATAGATTCTGGAAGAAAAAAAATTTCTAGCACGACATAGTATATACTCAAACAAATGTAAACAGTATGAGTAGCCCCCTTGGACCAAGCTTTTCAAATTATTATATATATCTGTTGTTGAAAAAAAAAGTTAAAAAAAACAAAAACATGAAAAATGCAATGAAGTAGTCAAAGATAACTGTAACTACGCTAGTGACATGGAGGAAAGCGATGATGATCACTAGTGGCTGCTACTATCCATGCCTAACTAATATAGAAGAAGCTACTGGCAACCATCGATAGACCTGATGGTCCTTCTGAAGGTGGATTATTTTGTCTATTTATAAACGACGAAATAATAACTTTATTCGTCAACAAAGCAAATATGAGTCAGGTGAAAGAAAGAGCAAACAAATGCTAGTGTCTTTTTGTATGTAAAAACATGAGAAAACACGTCACTTTTTTTGACGAAATGAAAGCTTTCTTAGCAATTTTGTTTCTTATTGTATACCCAGAACTCCACAGGGAGTAATAAAAGTTAAAGTATGTTGAATTATTTATTTTTGTTTTTTTATTTCGCGTTTCAATTTTTTTTGTTTCCAACATCAAAACATGCATGCAAAACGTAATGCATTATAAAATATTACTCATTCAATCTTTTATTAGTGTACAAAAATTTAAAATCTATATGCACAATACAAAGAAAGTTATAATAATTTTAAAACAATAGGCATTCATGGTTTTGCACCCTCAGAAGAAAAAATGCAGTGGCAGGGGGGAACAATTCTAAAAAGAAATTAGCGTGGTAAAGGCTAAAACAAACATTGCCAATAGAGTCAAAAAACATGTATACAGTCATAGTGGTTTCAAGAGAATCACTGTCCTTTTGACACACTGTTTTTTGTGGGCATGAAGGTAAAACATTGCCAAAACAGTTTTTCAGAAAATTAGACTTCTCAAGCAGTTATATTGATTGATTGATTGATTTTTTATGGTTTATCAACTTTTGCAGGTTATTTAAAGCCAGAAAATGTTTTTACATTGTAAGATTTTTTTTTGAGATAATAATAATTTACCAATAGTGTAACTAATTAAGCAATACCTGGGGAGGAGTGGTGGATTCATACCTTTGCACATATGTGAATACAAAAAACCCAACTAGAATTAGAACTCAGCTTTCTGATTTCAAATTCAGTCATTATCCCTTGCACAACCTGCACATCCAAGCGTACAACACCTGGTATACCCAAGTGGACACCCATCTAGGTACTGGCTCACTTTTACTTAACTTTGGTTACCATATGAGAACTGGTGTTTCAATGTGATATGGCTGTAAGTCACTATCTGTTATTACTTTTTCTAATATTGATGAGAGTTTCCTTCGAAACCTTTTGTTGTTGGTTGTGTGGAAAGTTAACATCTTGATATATATCAAGATTTTCTCTTCTAGTTACACATGCTTCCCAGTTTCGTTGTTGTTGTTGTTGCTTTTGGAAGTGTTCACTTGAGGTGGTTTTTTCCATTTGTTAAAGTGCTTTGTGATTTTGCAAAACAAGTCTTTTGCAAGATATATAGGATTTGTTTGTTTTCTTTAAATTTTCATTCTAAATTTGTGTGCAGATGAAATATATAGTGGTAAGCAAAAGGGACATCCCAAAATGTGACTTATGCATCAGAGACACCAAAATTAAATGAATGTGGAAATTTAACTATCTGGGTGTCATAACAACAGAAAATATGACAGAAATTTGAAGGCACACCGGTTTAGAATAAGACTTTGAAGAAACAAAGCAAGGATTGAAATATAACACGAGTAATTTAAAAAAAAAAAAATGAAGAATGTGTGACTGCTAGGTTATATCCACTAATATAGCTGAGAAAGCTGGACAGTTTCATCACAAAAGAAAAATCCTGGGTATAACAATAACCTACATCCTGCAACAAGGCTTCTGATCAGGAAATTTGAGGTTTTGAGGGACATGGAACCACCTTTTAATTGCTGTTCCCAGGTCCGCCTTGACCCCGGGTGGTAGCATCTGTTAGGGTCACAGCAATGGGGAAATAGTGAAATCCCAAACAAAAACAAAACTATGAAAGTATAAAAATACATTTTTATATTGTAAAATGACAAGCAATACAATTTTATAGAATTACCAACAATACATTTTATCTGTAGTTGAAGGCATACAATTATGTTTAAAATATATTTAGTTGAAGTCATAAAATTGTGCTCAAGATATTTAGATTTTGGCATTAAATAACCCATAGAGTTGTATATGCTACTAAACAAAATCAACAAATCAACATGAAAGAACTATTTCATGACATTAATTCATATAATATCTTACAATTTCTTAAAGAAATCAAACTGTATTTCAAAATATAACAACTTCAGCAAAACTACAAATAAAATACACATGTCACCACCTCTTGTAATAATGTCCACACAAATATATATATGCATAAAAGCTGAGTATCATCTACCATGTATTCAACTGTGAAAGCAGAATAACATTTTTATTACTTCAAAGCTCCAAAGAAATTAAAATTTTGGCATTTAATTACCCATAAGGAGTTGATATGTCATTAATCAAACAAATCAATTACAAAAGAAAAAGAGAATGGAAGTGACAAAGAGACATTTCAACTGATGAATGTTTATAATTCTGTGGACAGTGTAGTTCTAAAGGAACTAAAAACTGTTAACATTTGAAAAGAGATCCTGAAATGTTTAGCACATATGAGAAAAGAAGCCTTGAAGAATTTAACACTTGCAAGGAACATCAAAAGCAAAAGTAGCAGAAGAAAACAGTAACTTACCTGGTAAGTGATACCAAGAATCATAAAGGAGAAAGTATTACTGAGAGTAACAATAGATAGGAAGCTGTGGAGAGCCATGATCACCAGCACCCTGAAGGGACAAGATCATTATTACAAAAAGGTAATTTAGTATTTGATGCTTATATTTTGATGATAATGAATATCACCAACCCAATACCAAGATTAGGAATTCACTTGTGTAACAGTTCTGTACAATACTAATTGGATCACAGTCACTAGTGCTTTGTACCCAATAAAAAGAACGAGTTGCATATCATTGAAACACATGCAAGAGGAACAGTCTCTTACCTTCTGATACTTCTGACATCTTAAAGATTTCAGTCTGCAGAGATGCAATAGGAAAGACATGAATGTTGGAAGTGGTTGCTTTCCTTGGCTGTTTTGTACCTTCTTCACCACAATTATCATCAATTGAAAGACTTCGCTTCAGGGTTGTAGATACTGTAGGCGATAAATCAAGAGAACACATCCATACATGAGAGAGAGAGAGGTTATATATTGTCTCACAAATACAAACAGTGAAATTAATACTGTTGGTTGATTGTTTTTTGTTTAGCAGCATATTAACCTTCATAGGTTATTTAATGCTGAAATCTAAATATTTTGCATGCAATTTTATTATTATTATTTTGGAGATAATAATGGCATTGGTGATACAGTTTGTACTAATTAACCCATAGCTGGGGGAGGAGAGATGTATGCTTACCTTTCCCAAGGGTATTTGCACATAAGTGATTATAACAAACCTAAATGGAATCAAAACTTTGCTTTCTGATTAAAAATTCTGAGTCATTATTCACCCACACATTGAAGCTTACAGCACCTGGTATTCCCAAGTGCTCACCCATCTAGTTACTGACCCAGCTCAACATTGCTTAACTTTGGTGATCATACGGGAAACAGTGTTTCAACATGATGTGGCCGTAAGCCAAATTAATGCTTAAAAACATTTTGCTTTCTAATCAATATGAAGAAGCAACAAAATGTTGAGGGTTGTGTCTAGATTTCAATGTTTAACATAATGTCAAGAAATTATGCAAACAAAGAAGAAAATGATGATGACATTTTGTAATCATCATATCACAATTATATGATAGTTTATTTACTCTGCGTGCCAAATTATTATCAAGATAACTTTTTTCTAATATTTCAAAAACCATCCAATCAATTCACACAAAATTTTCACACAATGTTGGCAACACTGACCTGCGCAATCGCTGAAATTTTCATACTGATCTGTGCAATGTAAACAAACTGGCACCATATTTGTTATCAGCATGGTGATTTGAGCATGCCAAATTATTAGAAAGGTTTCATAAAATTCCCAGAATTGAGCAAACGAAACGTTTATTAATGTTGTACATGAATGTTTATGATCAAAAGAAGCTAATAAATAAGATAATCAAACAAATAATAACAGATACAAACAAAGGCACAGTTTTAAACAAATTAATAGGGAATGTGCTTTCCCTGTTTTGAAATTACTTGAAGACGACGATCCATAGAATTTGTTAATTGTACGATTTGTAATGCCACGATATATGTCAAGAATTGCTTCCCACAACTCAGCGTTGCTCCTGAATTGTCATCCATTGGTGTACAGTCTTCACTTCATGATGCTCCAAAGGTTTTCAACTGGGTTCAAATCCGGAGAATTTGCTGGCCACTTCATTTTTTGAAGTCCATCAAAGCCTAACTGTTTCAAATATTCAGTAGTCTTGTGAGCAGCATGTAAGGGAGCATTATCTTGCATAAAAACAATAGCCCTTCTGAAGGCAACTGTTTGCCTTTTCATCCACGGTTCAAGATGCTCCTTCATAAATGCTATGTATGCGCATCAGCAGTCATTTTGACGCCATCTGGTACTCTCCATGTGCCCACTAATGTTTTTCCAATAATACCAGCCCAGATCATTATGCCTCCACCGCCTTGTTGGCGTCTCAAACGCTGATGGCGATTCTGTCCGTTCATTACCCAGCCTTTGCACCATCTATCTGGCCCATCAAATGTTGCTCAAGTTTCGTCTGTGAACAAAACTTTAGAGATGTCAATCTTCATATTGTCCTCGGCTCATTTCAATTGATTTTGAATGTAATTTCTCGTCAATGGAGGCTTCGATATAGGTTTGACTGTTGTTGCTATTTCCCTCAGATACCAACACCGAGTACTTTTAGACACAATAGGATCCCCAATGCGACTGAAAAGCTCTTGACTGGTAAGTCCAGGTTTCTTCGTGGCCTCTCATTTAAGTCGTGACATGAGACGACATGAAACGACATGAAATAACCCTCAGCTTGCCTTTATCTGCCCTTTTGCATACTTGTGTAGGGTTGGCCGTTAACTTTTTTACAGTTACTCACACCAAGAAGATTAATGAAAGATGATAACGAGAATGAGGTAATTTTAAAAAAAGATGAGGAATTTATTCACAAATTTACATGCTTGAAGTAGTGTCAGTATCTTGTTTAAAGAAAATAAATGAGAATTATTAAAGTTTTAACATATTGCCATGAAAAGAAAATATTCATACAACAGATAGGACACAAAATAATAATTAAAATGTTTAAAATAAAAGGTAAGACAGTTTGTTGCTCACTGAAGGGACATATGGATGGAATACATTCAAAAGTAGATAAATAGAGATAGTTTTAAATTCTTAGCTTTCTTGGATTATTGAAAGAAAATTCTTTGAAGAGCTGTGTGTTGGTTAGAGGCTGATAATATAATTGGCAAGTAATTTTATATTGCCAAGCACTTCAATGTTGGTCACGAGGTACTGAAACTTTTACATGACTTCAAACACTCTTCTTCTTAATTTAATTTTCTTCTCATTTTATATCAAAAAGAATTTCATGTAAGGTCATTACTTTTTATTCTTCTTCTCAGCTAACTGGATAATTTTTGTGAAGGCATGGTTTTCATTGGTCCAAAACAATTTCACATAGGCTAGCAAGTTTCTTTCCTTCTTCCTCAGCTAACTGGTTAATTTCTGTGAAAGGCAAAAAATCTCACATAGGCTCCATCTTCCTCAGTCCTCCAAATTTGAAGGGAGCGGATGAAGGGATATATTATTTCACACTCACTACACACTCTTCTACCAACACTTTTAATAAAACAAGAGCCCAGCAACCAAAACTGAAGATGTCAAAAATTTATTCTGATAGTCATTTGCTTAGAAACATGCTTGTGTTGGTCAAATTGGTATTTTTCCAATTGATGTTCAAAATCTTGTTTATTCTTACATGCATTAATAAGCTTTTCTGTACAGAACAAGCAATGAGTTGGGATCACATATATATGAAATATAGATTGGAATCCAACAAATATTGCTTTATGTATGCAGGAGTATAATAATTCTAGTTTGTCTATGTGGGATTCAGATGATAATATATATTTGTAAGAGTTCAGGCGTGTATGTCTAGACATTATGTTTGTTGGTTTTTCACATGTTATTTGGGAAAATTTTTATGTGCATACCATTTGTTTTAAATGAACATATTAGATTCTTTAAGAATGGATTCAGTGTTTTTGACTTGTGTTTATAGTTGGTAATATTATTAGTAGGCCTTTGAAGTACTTCTGAGGTAAAGAATTATGTTCTTTTTTTAATTACAGTGGCATTTGTAAAAATCAAAGTTATGGACAATTTTATTCCTGCATATTATGAGAGAGTTTGAATGGTTGTCTAAAAGTAAATCTCTTTTGTGTTTGTAGATATGGCTTTTAGATCTTTTGGTGTCTCTCTGATATAAATGCTTTTACATTGTAAGCGATTAATTTATAGCTATAATATATAGAAAAATGATATATAATTTTTTTTTTTATATCAACAGTATAAAAAAGTGCTTTAATCACTAGATCAACTACATTTATGTCCAGGTTCTTACATTTCATCTTTCTTGGCAGATTTATTATTGCAATGGGGGATATTTAATAACAAATGTAATAAAAAGAAAAAGAAACTAAATGAAATTGGCTCGACTATATTACACAAAACATGTTTAAAAAAAAAAAAAATTTAATTAAAAATTCTCAGCATCCCCTCCTTTGTGCACATGTGTAGTGCATCAATATAAACATCACTTTAGTACAATGAAGTTATAAAGGACAAAATGTGTCACAAAAAACTTTTTCCACTTTATCATAGTTTATTACTAACATATAACTTTCTTCTCTTTTCCAAGACATGGATTCCCCAGTTGCCAAGGATTTTATGACTCAAAGATGCACTAATAATTCTGCCAAAATTCAAAACTTTCATTCAATAGTAGACTTTGAAGAAAATTGGGTGTAAATAACACAACCATTACTTTAATGGATTTTTCCCCTCGGCAAGGCACTGCAAAATTTAACAGTCAGTGTTAAGAGTTGAGCAGAGAAAGAAAACAATACAATTGAGAAATGTTTTTCCTCCCATAAAATATGATTTTATGAAGTATGAGGTCTGTTTGAAAAGTAACAGGACTGGATGTACTATGTGGGCTATGGGCATCATCCATGGTGAGTTCTTGCAGCAGGGCCAGGAAATCAATCAGCAAGTCTGAAAAAAGATCCTGTGATGTCTGCTTCGCTTAGTGTGCAAGAAGAGACAAGACTTGTAGTAGGACATATTGTGGCTGCTTCACCATGACAAAGCACAGTCTCAAAAAGCAACTCTTGGCCAAGAAGAACATCACTACACTGGAACAACTTCCATATTCACCTGATCTTAATTTTGTGTGACTTTTTTCTTTTCCCCAAGCTCAAGGGGATCATCAAGAGGACCAGTTTTGAAGGTGTGGAGGCCATCAAGTGGGCTGTAATGATGGAGCTGAGAAACATCAAAGAATCCTTCCAGCAGTGCATAAAAGCGTGGCAGAGAAGGATGGGAAAGTGCACTGGACTCAAGGGGGATTACTTTGAAGGTGTAACCATGTAGTTTGTTGCTTAGAATTGAAATAAACAGTCTTGTTACTTTTCAGACGTCATATGTAAAAGAAAACCTAAAACAGCTTTATCTTTTCATTTATTATTATATATAGCACTAGGATGTGAAGGAAGTGCAATGGATATAGGTGCAGAAAATGGAGTCAGAAATCAGCAAATTTGAACTACATGCCTGTAAACAAAAAAAAGAAAAAAAAAGAAAAAAAAGAAAAAAAGAAGAAAGAAAAAAAAAAGAAAGAAAAAAGAAAGAAAAAAAGAGTGTCAAAAGGTTTGCTATTATTTTAATTACCTTCACTTCTCAGTAATGTGTATTGTTTTTAAAAGCAATGATTAGAATTTTAATAGAACCTAAACATATGATAAAAGTGAATTTATACATTTCTTTTTTGTTCTTGAAAATTTACAAAATATTAAATACTATTTATTTATTAGATTGTTTATTTACAAGAATAATTTTATATTTACAACATTCTAAAAACTAATACAATTGTATTAAACCTAATGCAATGCAATATTTATTTATCACTTAATTTGTATAAGAAATAAATATGAAAACCATTTTTTATTCATAAATTTGTAAACATTTACTAAATTATTAAAATATGTGAACCAACTATAAAAGGAAATCCTTATTATTTAACATTTCATAAATTTTGAATCCGATGTTTTGCCAACCAATCCAATAAAAAATATAATAGTGTAAATAAACTATTTAATAAATAATGTTTATTATTTTTGTTGCAAATTCTCAAGAACAAAGAAAATGTATAAATTCACTTTCATATTTTTAGATTTTATTAAAATAAACATTTTAAAAAATAAACATTGGCAAGTAGTGAAGGTAATTAAAATAATAGTGGTGTCAATTGGAAAAAAAAAACATCCTTTTGACACTTCATTTTTTGCAAGCACAAAGGTTCAAGTTTGCCCAGCAAGCAAAGTTCAAATCCCAGGCTAGCTAGTTATTTTCACTTTTGTACAAATACTCTTAAGAAAGGAAT